AAGATGGTCACCTTCACCGACCCACGGACGCTCCATCCCGATCTGCCTTATCGATTCCAACTGCGCTCCGTGTATCCTCTCCTTTATGTGACAGTCCGCTATTCTGCCTATAGGATCCAGGGTTTCGCCAAGGAAATTTCCTACTTGGATTCGCAAAAGAGTGCTGACGGTGAATACGTAAATGAAGTGCAGTGCAGTCCGCAGTTCGTAACCGAGGAAGGAGGCGCGATAAAGCTAACTGTCTACTACTTGTACTGCCTACCGGACGAAAAGGGTAATGACAGAGCCTGCAACAATACACGGAGGATAACCCAACATATGTATCCCTCGTTTGCTCGCAAGTTTGTTGTCATTCTTGGTGAATCAAACAAACCGGTTTACAAACCTGGTGGGAATATACGCTTTCGTTTCATTGCCCTCAATACCCGTCAACTTTATCCATCTACTGAACGGCGCGAGTGGCCCGAAGTGCTACTTGTTATGCGGACATACAATGATGCCAGGGTTGTGCGGGTCACTGAAGAAGAGAGACGTAGGCGTGAGGGGTCCTTGGGATTCGATGTGATCTACGTAGAAGACCCCAGTGGGAATCGGGTGAAGGAGTGGAGGAATGTTTCGCAGACGATGGCATTTAACATGTCCTTCCCACTGCTGCCAGATGCATCAGAAGGCGTTTGGCGTCTCGTGGCAAGGGTTTTCTCCAGCATTCAAACGCTGCAGGTGCGCGTGGAGAATTACGTGCTTCCGCGATTCCTGGCCACTATTCAGGTTCCAAAGGAGGTGGAAATTGACGCTGAGAGGGCATATTTCAAAGTCTGTGCAAAATACACCAACCGAAATCCCTTTCAGGGACGGTACGATGTTCAAATCTGCGTTGCTTTTGGAACTGAATTGAGGCAGCGACAGAACCTAGGTACTCCGTTCAAAAACGATGGAGGAACGATGGGTGAAACGAATTCGAGTAGACCTCCGGGTCAGTGTCTTTCTGTTGCTGGCAGCCTTTTCGGCACAGCTGACAATGGAGGGTGCGTAAGCGCGAGCTTCTCCATGAAATCACTGATGCAACATGTTGAAATGTGGGTCGAGGAAGAATATAAATTGGATTTTCTCGTCAAAATCAGTGAAACGGATACGGGTTCCACCGTGACACAGTTTGGTCTGGCGGAGATTCGGCCCCCCAAACTGGATGTAGAAATAGACAGCACCTACCGACCAGGTTTGCCCATTTACGGAAATGTGCGTCTGCCGCAGATGAATACGCCTGCAAGGCCTGATTCGGTGAGAGCCAATTTGACCCTCTTTAAATAGCTTAATGGTAATGATTCCTGGATTCAACGGAAAATATATTCCACGCAATTACAGCTAAATCCCAGTGGCGTGGCATCTTTTATTCTGCCATCAGTAAGCAGTGAAAGAAACCTACAGGTACGCGTGCAATTAATACGTCAGGACGCCACGGCCAGTCCTCCCAGCTGACAGCTGGAAAGGACAGAATCGTTGAGACGCTGAGAATCACGCAGTGGTCTGGCCCTCAAGGTAAGAAGCATAAACAGCAACTCTGCTGTACGTTGTCCCGGAACGCTAAACCTTACTATCATGGCGAATGCGCCACTGGCAGGGAAGACACTCTATCTTGAGTTTCTATCGCGTGGTCTGCAGACATGGCGGACCGCAGTCCTGCGACCTGCGAGGTCGGGATACGCTTGCTCTGACGAGGACAGCGATCTGGGCCACTACACTTGCAATACGCGCTTCCAACCCGGAGAAGTGGGAGAAATTATTTGTCGGCCAGGGTGGACTGAAAATAATTGTCTATCACGTTACCCCAACAGAAGGAGAGATGCGGTTCGCAGGACAATATTTATGCATGAAGCGCTTTTCGACATGGATTGCACTTTCGGACCAACGCTCAATGCAGTAGCTTACGTCATCAGCCTTGATTCCAGGTTGAAAGGAGGCTACGAACTGATCTCCGATCATCTGAAAATTGAGAATCTGAAACTTTGCTCAATACCAGCCATGTATAAGCCCCGTCTAACTTCACCTAATATGAACAACTTTAACAAGCACACACTGGTGCCTGGAGACAGAGTTGGTCTGACAATCAGCGTACCGACTGCCCGAGACTCGAACATTTCTGATGTCGAAAACTCATGTATTTTGCGCCTTGTGGATACGGCATTCAAGAATTTTGAGAATTCTAAAGATACACTGATCGATTTAAACAAGGTTACCAATGAGCTTCATGAAAACAGCCAGTTGTTTTACAACGGCAGGTACGTCTACAACACGAAGACGGCATTCGAGGCAATCGGCATAGATTTTGTTTAATTTCAACAACCAAGTATGCGGATTGGACGTAGAGAGTGTTCTGGTGCTGCAAAAAGCCGTTCTCTCCTAAACGGTAACCAATTTTTCGAACCCCCTGTGCAAAATAGTGATTGGGATAGGTTGAATTCCAACTTATTTAAAACGACTGTGCGTAATACCATCGTAAAACCACGAGTCCGAGATTTCTTTCCGGAGGTCTGGCTGTTTGACCACATCACACTCGACCAAGCAGGATATTATAGCACCCTGCTAACAGCACCAGACGGCATTACTAGTTGGGAATTCAGGGCTCTCTGTTTTTCGCAGAACATGGGCATCTGGATGCCACCAAGACTGGAGCCGGAGGTTGTCACCGTCTCGCTCCCCTTCTACTTCGAACTCACTCCCCCGGTGAAGGCCAAACGACACGAGGTCTTACACTTGCCCGTCAGTGTCTTCATGTTGTCGCAAACATCAGCCAGTGTCACGGCAGACGAGAAGGCCTTTTAGGAGGTTTTCGTTTCAGTGGCAGTTGACCACGAGGATTGGCAGTTGGCCGGCCGTTCCGAGTTCAGCAAATGCATGTGCCAGGGCCATCCGAAGGCCACATTCACGGTAGCTCTGAAGCCGCAGAGACTGGGAGGATTGAATGTGAGGAAACCGGGCTCTGCCCTGTGCACCACAGAACCTGCGGCCAGAAACGGCAATGTCTCAGTGGCAGATGCTGTTAAACGTTCAGTCCTTGTCGTGCCCGAGGGTCTAGAAGCAGAGACTAACGTGGCAGCAAAGCTGTGCATTTCCGAGGGAAGAAAGTCGTTGGAAGAGGTAATACGGCTAGACCTTCCGCAGCACATAGTGGAGGGCTCCCCGCGTAGCTATGTCTCAGTGAGTGGCA